GTATTGTTTAAAAATTACAATACCAGTACCCTCAAAGTGATACAAGTATCAATAGAGTACTTCATTTGATGCCTGGTGCCGAAGCCATGGGTCTTGTACACACGGTGCAGCTGTCCACCCTGACGTTTTCTCCATGCTTGATGAGGTGCTTTCTGAATACTAGTATTCCCAGTTTTTCCTGAAATAATCCTTCTGCATTTTATGCATTTATGCTTTTGAACGTTTTGGTGCCAATCTCGGCACGTTGAATTGCCAACCACGTCAAGTGCACCGCGCTCGATTTCACCGCCACAGACTGTATGTAGCTGCAGTTGTAGGCCAATCACATAACGCATTAAATGGAAGATTGCTGGCAGTGATTGGCTACAAGCAAAATACAAATGGTCTTTTCTCTAAATCTGGGTACAAAAGGATTAAATGCAGGTATCATTTGACTGGAGAAGTTTGGATACTACTTGGTACTGGGTTATTTTGGTCTGAGTACCAATATACCAGCCCTGTCGCAGGTGCAGTGTGTTCTCAGGGTGCAAGTGGAGGTGTGTATCTGTGTGTTGGCTGGGGGTGGGGAGGTAGACCAGAGTGCCACCTGTTCTCGGTCATGTGGCCCAGCACTGACACTGTGAATCACTGAACAGGCGGCACATGAGGAACACACACACACACACAGATGGCCACAGTGTGCTCTAGGTCCTGCTGTGCATTTTGGCTGACACACACATCATTTCATGAGGCACACCAATGACATATCGACAACATCATGACCACAGAACAGTCAGTAAACGTCACGTATGCATGATGAAAGAGGCGGATGGAATAAAAATGAGCTCTGGTTGTCTTGTGCAGGCAGAACGAAGTGTTGATCTTTTAACCCTTGACTAAAGTGCTGATGAATTGCTGACCACTGGAATGTCACAGACATGTTTGACCTGGTTTTGACAAGAGTGAAAATATAAACTCCTCCATCCCTCCCAACACACGTCACTGCAGGCCAATTTTAAACCACAGATTTGAGGAAAAAATCATTGACCAAAATGACTGAATATTGCTATCAATCTGAATTTGATGGATATAAAAGGGTACTCTTGACTTCAGCTCATAGTGAATGTTAATGCATTGTGTCCAGCTCCTCCTTGCTGCTCTTGTTGGCACTGTTCGACCTTTAGACTGACCTTTTTTCCTCCATGTTGTGGTTTCAGGAGGTGGGACGTGTCATGGTGGCCTGCTGAAAGAGACAGACTGCATTACCCATGATCACCGGGTAAGGCTCCCTTTACAGTAGCTTACAGTTTACAGTTTCTTGTCTGATTTTGTCTTTCTAACTGTTTCTACCTTACTGTCATTTCTTTCATCCACAAACACACAATAATAATAATAATAATAATAATTGATTTGATTGATTGATTGATTTAGTTCAGTAGTAGTTTAGTTTTATGTGGTTTTTCAGTTGTTTGTATTGGTGATAAATAGATTGGATTTTCTATAACTTCTTCACAATAAAAGCATCCCATCAGTGGAAAGCTTTTAATGTGAAGCACAGACACATTAATTTAGCCCCTGAGGACACAGCTAAGGGAAGGCTCGGCAAGGCATGGCTAAAGTGGACCAACCCTGGCTAATGGAAAAACCATAATAGTGTATATTAAAAAGTGTTATCATGTACCAACTAGGGACAAATGGATGATTTTGGCGTTGATGATTTTACCTTTAAGGAGGAAAATTGACCAGTTAGACAATCTCCTGAAAACATGTTTTACTCCTTTAAGAGTCATCCAAGGTTTTTAAGCTCCTCTAGTGGAGTTAACTTCCTCACTATGTATAACTTTGGAATTGTAAGTATATTAAGCAGGACTGGAGTGCTTAGCTTATCATAGAGCTACAGTCGGGATTAGCTGCTTGTTTGAGAAACTAGAGGCAAAGCCAGGCTCCCTATCGGCCCCTCTCTCCTTGAATAAGGGCCCTAATTATCAGGGTTGTAGTGCTCCATTCAGCCGGCTACATGGCTGCTATATGTGGGTGTGCTAAGCCAGTCTGACTGCCTGTGTGGCTCTCTGTCTCCTCGCGGTATGACTGCGTGTGAGTATGTGCGTGGAGGTGATTATTATCGTGTCTGTCGGTCTCTTAGTGTACCCAAAAGGCTGACTCACGGTATGCCACATTGACACACACACACACACACACACACAGTCCCACACACAATCCTACATATCAGAGGCTGAGAAGTACCATCTGTACCAGACACAGTCTCCTACGACTGCAGAGCACACTTACTTGCTCACATGCATACTTTCTTTCTTTTACTATTGCTCTGTCTGGACCTCATGCTGTTTATTTTTTAAAAGTGTGTGTGTGTGTGTGTGTGCGTGTGCGTGTGGGTGTGTGGCTGGTATGACAGGAATTTTAGGGCTCGTACCCATGGGAGAGCTGCTAAATATATATATATGTGGAGTGTGAGAACTGAGCCGTCCTTGTCCCCAATCTCTTTAATTACACACACAAAGTCCCTACCACACACACATGCACACATGCCTGCCTGCCTCCCTTCCACACACATGAATACAGGATTGCTAGCCATGCATATGTGCTGTAAGAACTTAAACACACAGTGCTTCACAAATCTTTTTTTTCCTCTATTGTCCCTTCCTGCCACACACACACACATTTGAGACCCCCGGGACACACTGTAATGCCTTGGCTTCCCTTGTTGTGGGAGAGGAAGGATGGCAATTGAGCTCAGACATACATTTACTATTCTTAGACCCTTATTATGTACAGTACCATACATATCTATGAGAGAAACAGCTGGAAGAAGCTCTGGGTGTGTGGAGCGTGTGTGTGGTACACTAGAGTCCCACCCATGACCACATCAATCAGCAATCCTCTTCCTGTTCACTTTTGAGGGCTAATGGTCTCCCACCACACTCTTTGCACTGCAGTCACACACACTCACACACATACATTGACACACTTAAAGCTGAGCAAAGTCACACACTTGAGACACTCATCCTAATGGAAGATACGGTGTAATAATGGGATCAATTTGAAAATAAAAGACGACTTCAGATGAAAATAAGAAACAAAAATAGAAAATATAACCTTTTACGCACTAGAAACAAGCAGCATAACATTAGCATAGATTGTACTGTGAGTATATTTCTGTGCAGGAGAGACCAGTGCAGAAAGAATGGACAATGTACAGTGAGAGGCAGATGATATATAGCCTACATACAGAATGCACAAGTTTACAACTCTGTGACAGGTAATTAAGGACTGCAGCAATTCAGGGTGTAATAGCTTCCAGATGATGTTATAAAAAGTCGAGCTTCAGCTGACGTGATGTATTACAGTATACATACTGATTATAACAGCAAGGTTGCAGGTTTTTCTGACTATGTAATTATAGCATCTGGAATTTAATTGCCTTAACAGTTGTTGTTTTTTGACAACTTCGATCTACTTACAGAGGGAACTTACCAGGCTATGTGACATTATCAGCTGCTACAAGCTTTTGTTCCACAGTCACTCTTAGAAATCAAAGTGGGCTCTTCATCTTTCCACTAGACCCTCACTTTTGCAGGCACACTAGCAGCTGCAAAGGCTTCTAGTTTGGCCAACACACTTTTTTTTTTAATGACAGTTAAGCTCTCTGTACAGTACTGTATGAACTGTATCTGTCATACAGCCTTTAACAAACAAACACAAAACATCCATATACAAGCACACAGCCTCCCAGTGTCATAAAGACCCTCACTGTGCTGAGTCCCTCCTCTTTCTCAACACAAAACTCATTATTGAACATTCATTGTCACTCGACAATAGACTCTAGATCCACCCTGGTGGTACATACCACACATGCCATGTACTTACTTCATCAGGGCTTTGAATCTAGCACACACATCTCTTCACTGAATACTAATAGAAGCAGAAATGCCTTCAGTTATCTTTAAATATACTGCGGGTAACCTGTTGTGGAAGGAGACTGAAGAACATACAGTGATTGACTGATAACATCTCTGATTTGTACCAAGGCAGAGAGTGGTTTCATAATGTTCTGAGTTTATTGTTTATGTTGTTGTTTTTAGAATATATAGAACTATAAATACACTGCATATGTGTGTCTCCTTATGCCATTGTCTGAGCATCATCCATGACACGCTCCCATCTTCCCTGCCATGGCTAATTTTGCCTCCTGTTGTCTTGCTGAGGCAGTGCTTTCTAAATATAACCTCTGTGTGTGTTTGTGTGTGTGACACATACTGTTGGTTGTACCAATGTGGCTCTTTGGCGTTATTACAGAGTACAGGATGGTTACTTTGGCGAGGAAAAGCTGGAACAAATGTTTCCTGTCTTAGAGAGACCCATTTGTGTTTTTTAAAGCCTTGTTTACCTCACACAGGATGTTCACTGGCTGCCTCTGAGCACATACATATATATATATATAT